AAATCAGTGTAAAAAGCTACAATAATGATAACAATGTGGTACTATCATAAAGAAAGACATATGGGTCACTGGCATAGAATAAGAGAGTCTAGAGTTAAACCCTATTTTTAATTAAAAGAGTGGGAAAAAGAGAGTGAAAAAACAGTTCACATAAATAGGAGAAATATTTGCAAAGCATATATTTCATAAGGGATTAGTATTCATACTCCTTAAAGAACTCCTACAACTGAACAGCAGAAGACACAAAGAACGAAATTCAAAAACAGGCAAATAACTTGAATAGACATTTCTCTAAAGAAAATATACAACTGGTCAGTAAGAACCAGAAAAAAATGCTCACACACCTGTAATTCCAGCACTTTGGGAGGCTGACACGGATAAATCACCTGAGGTCAGGGGTTCAAGACTAGCCTGGCTAACATGGAGAAACTCTGTCTCTACTAAAAATACAAAAATTAGCCAGGCATGGTGGTATGTGCCTGTAATCCCAGCTACTTGGGAGGCTGGACGGGAGAATTGCTTGAACTTGGGAGGCGGAGGTTACAGTGAGCTGAGATCGTGCCACTGAGCTCCAGCCTGGGAGAGAGAGTAAGATTCCATCTCCAAAAAAAAAGAAGCTCATCATTAGTTATTAAGGAAATGCAAACTCAAACCACAATGAGATATCACTTCATACTCATTAGGATAGCCATATATTAATATAACAAGTGTTGGTAAGGATATGAAATTCAAACTCTTGGGCATTACTGGTGAAAATGTAAAATAGTGCAGTCACTGTGGAACAAAACAGTATGGCATTTCCTCAAAAATGTAAACATAGAATTATTGTGTGATCCAGAAATTCTACTTCCAGGAATATACCCTAGACAACTAAAAGCAGGACCTCTGCCAGGTTCGGTGGCTCACGCCTGTAATCCCAACACTTTGGGAGGCCAAGGCCGGTGGATCACTTGAGGCTGGGAGTTCGAGACCAGCTGGACTAACATGGAGAAATCCCATCTCTACTAAAAATACAAAATCAGCTGGGCATGGTGGCACATGCCTGTAATCCCAGCTACTTGGAAGGCTGAGGCAGGTCAATCGCTTGAACCTGGGAGGCAGAGGTTGCAATGAGCTAAGATCATGCCATCGCATTCCAGCCGGGGCAACAAGAGCAAAACGCTGTCTCAAAAAAAGAAAGAAAGAAAAAGAAATGAAGGCTGGGCACAGTGACTCATGCCTGTAATCCAACACTTTGGGAGGCCGAGGCAGGAGAATCGTTTAACCTGGGAGTTGGAAGTTGCAGTGAGCCGAGAGTGTGCCAGTGCACTCCAGCCCAGGTGACAGAGTGAGACTGTCTCAAAACAAAAACAGTCATGATGTTGGACATAGTGGGGCACCTCTCGGGTTTCCTCCTTGAGGCACAGACTCAACAGACTGTTTTACCTCCTCATGTCTCTTTCCAGTTGCCACTGCCTCCTGGCTGGTCTTTATGCACCACAGATTGTGGACCTGCCCCGAAAGCAGCCACGCTCCATGGTGCCTTGTGTAGACCCCGCAGACCGAGGCCCAGATGAGAACAGCCCATCTTAGCACGCTTGCGCTGTACCAGGTTCAGGACCATGGTGATGGGTAGATCCATCCACATCCTCCAGGGGCTCACAGTGTATGGGTGCGGCCTGGCATTCACCAGGCAACCTCACAAACATGTCCTTACCCCACAGATACCTGCCCTCAAGAGAGTAACGGGGGGGCCATCCTGGTTCACAGTGGCTACCCCCAATGATGCCCACTTGAGGCCATCAGCCACCCCATCATCTGGCTGAAGTCACTCGCCATGGGCTGCACAGGGAGGCAGTGTCTGGGGCTGGGAAGTCTGGCTCAGCCCTCACCTGCACTGAGTCCCCCAGCAGCCTATGCGGATTCGCCAGCAGCCCCATCATGGTGAGGAAGCCAAGCACAGGGATGCCAAGTGACCTGCCAAGGCCGCATGGACAGGCTCCAGAGCCTGCAGCCCTCTAGTTCAAGAACTAAAATTAATTAGCCAAAATCCACAGAGCAATCCCATATGTCTGGCATTCCATGAGCCCTACATCTACCTACGACCTTCATCCTTCCAACAGCTCTGCAACATAAGGATGACCACAAGCCCCATTTTCAGATAGGGAAACTAAGGCACAGTGAGAAGATAAGGCACCTGCCTGAGACTGCAGCCAGATATGAAGTAACCGATCAAGATCCAGGCCCAGGCACAGCCGTGTTGAGGACCACCTGTTGACATCCAGACATTCCGCCCCTCTGATGAACATGCGAATTCACTGTAATCAGCTACAGCAGTCTACTCCCTGCCAGACCAAGAGCAGGCCCACGGCTGTCCTCTCCAGTGCTGCACACGTGGCTGGGGACGCAGTAGGTGCTCACTAAAGAGTTCTGCAATGAATGGTCCAAGGCCCAAGGGCTGTAGGTGGACCGTGGCCAGCATCCCATAGAGGCCTCCTCCTGCTCTGCAAGCCGCTAGCCAGGAGCCTCTGTAGCTGCAGAGCCATGAGTCACCGTGAGCCACGAGTCAGCTGGCATAGGCAGCATGGTTGGTCCAGGTACTGAATCCAGGCTCTGCGGCTTGAGGGCTCTGTGCTTCCTGTGGTTGCCTGCGAGTTGTACACGCAAACTACACACAGGCAGCACTTGGAAACCAGAAAAGGCACAAGAAAGGAAACCATCTCAGTGCCAGCTCCCTATAAACAAGTCTCTGAACTGTTTACAGGACAAAGGAAGATGGCTCACTCTGGCACACACCCACCAAGCCTTCACCACACCCACATCCCACATCCCCTGCCTTCTTGCCAAGCTGGCACCAGGACCATGGACCCACACTCTATCACCCCAACATGAACCTTCTTACCAGCCCAGACTGATGCCCTCAGCCTAGTCTTTGAGGCCCCGTGGGAGCTGGCCCCACCCACACTCACCCAGCCCTCTAGGCCCATGAGACTTTCCTGCCTGGCAGTCCCCAACAGCACCATTCCGTCTGCGACCCCTACCTTGGGCTGAGAATACCTATTCCTTGGTTTCCACCTGGTTAATTCATGTTCAGCTTGCTGTCCTACCTATAAGAGACCTCCCTGAGTTCCTATGGCCCCGAACCAATTGGCGTCCAGACACTTGGGCATCAACCTCCCCTCCTGAATTTCTTCTACAAGTCCCCTTGTCTCAGTGCTCAGCCCAACTAAGACTGCTCATTCCCCGGCACAGCCCAGGAGGTACACGCAGACACCTCCTCAATGTTCTGCAGGCACTGGCTCACATGTGCTGCTCATAGAGAGGGCTGGCATAAGGTAGGCCCCCAGTTGGTGCACAGAGGCAGTGAGCCTGGGATTACAGGTCTGCAGCCTGGCAGGGCTGTCCATATGACCCTCCCAGAGATGTGCTCCATGGGCCTTGGTTCCCCATCCGAAAAACTAACGGTTGTGAGGGAATGTCTCCAGGCCCAGGGGGTAGACACAAGAGGTGGGAAGCGTACACAGTTCCCACTCTCTCGAAAAGGTGAATCTGACAGTCAGAGCCTTCGGGGACCCCTGCCTGATGTGCTCTCCCACCTCCACGGTCCCTTTATGCAATAAGGCTTCTCTAACGGACAGCAAGGGACAGGGCCCCTTTGTGCAGGAAGGCTCCTCAATGGACAGCAAGGCCTCAGGCTCTGCCAACACCCAGTCCCTGGGACAGGCCTCCTTGGAGACCAACACAGCTCTGAATTGTGCCCCACACATTTTGATGAACTCACTAAGGGAGCTAGGGAATCCCACCCTGGGCAGGGCACAGTTTAAGACTTTGTTTCCCCATCTGTACACAGACAAGATATTCCACGTGTCCCCATCTGATCATTTTGGACAGGAATCACCCAACACAGGGTACAGTGCACAGTAAGTGCTCAGAAATGGTAGTCGCAAATAAGAAGGGTTAGAAGGGAGGACAAAGGGGAACAGGTGGCAGCTGGGGTCTCTTCTGGCCTGGTGTCCTAGAAGTCATTGGTTTCCAGCCCATGAGATCCTATTTGTGTGCAGGACTAGGCTGAGACTCAAGTGAGCGAGCATGGAGGAGAGAGGACTAGGGACTTCTGGGGCCACCCTGACCCCCTGAGCCAATTCTGCTCGGTGAAGCAGAACATTGAGAATGAAGTGTGGCTTCTGGGAACCCCCATCTTCCCGACCGGGCTGCCATGGAGTCCTTTACCAGGGAGTCCTTTACCAGTTTATCACCCTCATGGGGCTTCTCCAACAGGGGAAAGTCCACAGAGCAGGGTCACCCTGTTTGTCTGAGATCAGGAGGACAGTGGGCAGGTCCCCAGACCAGAGAGGCCCTGGGGAGGATGGCTGGGCTGGGGCCACCAGCGTGGAGCACAACAGCTTTGGAGGGTCCACTTGCTGTTCCTGATTCCCTTAGGCCTAAACAGGGGCAAGGGGGTCATGGACCCCCGAGGGAGTCTGGGAGGCTGCGCAGAGTCCCACAGAAACCACACACCTCCGAGGAACGCATCTCCAGTCCCGCGAACTCGTTTGGGTGGTGGCAAGGATGGAGCGTTGTTTCCATGGCCAGAATCACAGCAGGACCGTTGTGAATGCTCCCTGGTGTCATTTCTACCATCGCCTACTATTTTAGGCCAAACTCCCCACCGCGGGACACCTCCCAACAAAGATTTGCAGTGGCCGAACCCAGACCTTGGCCGTGCAGCCCCACCCCGGAGCTGCCCAGTAGCCTCCGCCCTCTTCGGCCCCGCGCCTGGCCACCGCCCATCGTGCCGGGCACCGCCTCGGCTGTCACGGCCCCGCCGGGCAGAAGCCCCGGGACACCCACCACCTCTCGAGGGTGCACCCGAGCACCACCGGCAGCTGACGGGCCAAGGTCACTCGGCCCCCGCAGCCCAGGCGCGGCCTGCAAGTCGACTCGTAAAGCAGCCGGACCCTCAGGCCGGGCCACCCATCCAGGGCGCCCGCACCCCTGCGCCCAGCCAGCCCCGCGCCCACCTGTCATGGCGATGGACACGGCGCCGTCTGCAGTCCCCAGATGTCTGCCGCGCCGTGCGTCCGCCCCTTGGTCAGCCGTCCGGTCTACTCGCTCCAGTGACCGCCGCCAGTCGGCCGTGCTCTCCAGCCCCTTTTCACTAGGCCCGTCCCCCGGCTTCCGCAGTGTAGCCTCGGGGAGTCTAAACCCCGCCCCTCACTGAGCCCCGCCCCTTTCCGGTAGACCCCGCCTCGGCCGCGCCCTCCACGGCGCCGCCAGGGATCTAATCTCCACCCCTCACTCGAGTTCCGCCCCCTTGCCGTCCTAGGTTAGGCCGCTGCGAGGATCCTTGATCCCTGCCCCTCACTCGAGCCTCGCCCCCTCCGGCGGCGGCTTCCGCGCCTCCAGGAGTCCTGAGCCCCGCCCCCTCATGAACCCCGCCCCTTCCTTCGGCTTCCGCTCCTCCAGCTCTGGGCCCCGCCCCTCACTCGAGCCCCGCCCCTTCGGCGTCGGCCTCCTAGCCTCCAGGGGCCCTGAGCCCCGCTCTTTCCTGCTCGACCCTGCAGCTGCGGGCGTGGGCGGGCGCGGGCGGGCGCCACCGGACTCCCGCCTGTCTCAACGTCGGTTAAGACGCCGTGTGGGGCCCAGAGTCCCTCCCCTCGCTGGGTGCGGGTCCCGCGGGCGTTGACCAGAGGCCTCAAGCCCCGTCTCTCACTCGAGCCCCGCCCCCATTCAAGTCCCGCCCTCGGCGCGGCCTCAGCTACTGCGGCCGCGCGCCTCCCTGGCTCCGCCCGCTCCTGCCGGGGGCCCCGTCTGTCTTGGGCCAGTCCTTCCAGGCCCTGCAGGTGGCGGAGTCGGGACCCAGGTGGCACAGGCGGTAGCCCAATCCGTCCGCCGTCCGCCCTCGGCTTCGCGCGCCACCCCTGGGATGAGGAAACTGAGACTCTGAGAGGGGAGGTGACTGATCGAAGGTCATGCAGGAAGTCAGGCCCTTGGTGGTACAGGGCCAGGCCTGGGGCAAAAGGCCGGTGGGCGTCCAGTACCCCACAGGGACCAGCCGAAGGAGGCAGTGCCCAGTGATGCTCTCCCAAATCCAGGGGAGAAGTTGGACTCAACGGTGTGACCTCGTGGGGGGTGGGCATCGCCGTCTTGGGGGACCCCAGTCCCCCACCTTCAAAAGAAGACGCTAGCTTGGCAGTGTGACCCTAACTAGGGAGGTCACTTAACCTGCCTGAGCCTCAGTTTCCTGGACTATAAAATGAGTGACCTCGGGCAAACTTCCCACCTTCCCGTCTGCTTTCCCTCTTCCTGTAGGCCTGGCCTTTCCAGCTCCGGCGCCCACCGCAAGAATCCCCAGCCCCACATGAGGCGAATGCATTGGGCCCCAGCCAGGAAATGGAGACCAGAGAAGGAAGAGCAGCGCCCTCCCAGCCAGCAGCAGCTTCCCTTCCCGTTTCCCTCTCTGCCTGTGTTGGCTGTTCCTCCATAGCAGCTCTAATTTGAGATGCCAGAGCGTGACCCGGAATGGGGGTGCCCAACGCAGTGTTCACTTCTGGGACAGCACAGTGGTCCCTGCAGTCCATGTGCTGTCTATCACTGTGCCTCCGTTCTCCCCTGTGCCATGACCTGCCATCAGGGCCTGCATACAAGGCATTTGGAGAATGGATGCAGTTGTCACCTGATAACCTCAAAACTCTTGGGGCCCAGTCGTGGTCATTGCACAGCAGCCACCCTTGTCCCTAAACACGGAAGGTGAGCTCTTGCCCAGGTTACCCAGGAGGCCAGGCTGCCATCAGATCCAACCTGCCCCAGGTCCATGGACAGGGCCAGCCCCAGGGCAGGAGGGCAGTGGTCCAGCCTGTGGATCCCTCCAGGCCTCTCATCTGCATGTGTGCCTGGGTGAGTCCAGGCTGGCTCTGGGTTTCAGGTGCTCCTTGGGGGGACCCAGAGGGAGATTCCCCAGAGGGCCTCTTGTGTCCCAGTGGGATGCAGGCTGACCCCAATTCTTCTGCATCCATCACACCGTTATGGTGTCTAGTACTTATCTTTCTGGGTTTATTTTGCACATACTCATGCCACTGAGTGATTTCAGAGCCATAAGGGTGGGGACTGAGTGGAAGGGGGACACAGTGGGGACCTCAGGGGCTTCAGGCACTGCCCATCGTCAGGGAGCCCTCACCCCAGCCCCTTCTAAGGAAGCCAGCATCCCACCTTCACATCCACTCCTGCACCCTCAGGACTGCCCCTGGCCATGTGACAGACAGGGGACCTGAGGCTTGGAGCATGAAGCCCCTTGCCCAAAGTCTAGCAGCCAGACATGGCCTCCCAGGTACAGGTCACTGCTCCTCATCCACCCTAGGGTTTAAAGAGGATTTACTTCAAGGAACCCAAGTTTACATGCAGGGACTCAAAGCCCTGTGCCCTCTGGGATATGCCCTCCAAGCCTATGGGATGGAAGACCTCAGCTGAAAGCAGGACAGCTGCTGGTGCAGCCAGGGGTCTATAGCCAGGATGCCCACCGCAGGGGCTTCAAGCAGGCGCAGGCACCCCCCCACAGGCAAAGGGCAGGTCCTGGGTGTTCTCCTGCACACACATCCTCCCTCCTGGCCAGCCCTGGCTGCCTGGACCTCAAATGGAAAGTGAGGTCCTGGGAAGGTGGGGGCCCCTTAGAAAGTGTGAACTGAGGTGAAGTGTGAACAGGAAGCCCTGTCCTTCGATAGTCAAAAACCAGAGCTGGACTGTGGTTATAGATGTAGAAACATATTTTATTCAGGACTCTTGTGATAGGGGAAGAGAGGTGTCAGAAGAGAACTGGGCTCAACTCTAAATATAGCAAGGACAAGTGGGACAGGAGGGGGCTCCAAGGATGGAAAATAGGAAGAGGAAACATTGGGGTGAGGGAGATTCCAGCTGACAGAATTCTTGCAGATAGGCTGGATTGACAAGACCTCACCCAGGGATGGTGGGGAGTTCTTGCTAAACTCACTAGGAGGGTTCTTTGTTTAAACTGGATTTCTACAAGGAAGTTCATGGATGAGCCAAGGAGAAAGTTGAGGGGCCTGACTAAAGTTTGGTCAAAGAGAGAATCTGTCAACATCACAGATGCCCTGGCCCTGACACCCACTCCTTTGAATGGCCCCCACCTTGCTATTGGCTTCTATCAGATTTTCTTGCCATCACATGCTTGATCTCATGAGAAAGCAAGCACAATTTTACACACAGACAAAGCTCATTTCCACGGGGGTTCTTTGCACTGGGTGGGGTGGGGGCACTTCCCCCTGGTTTCCATAAGGCTAGCCTTTCCTCACTCAGGCCTCTGCTCATCTGCACCCCACCCTCATGAGCTGTCTCTTCCAAGCCCAGCCCTGCTCCCACCTTGGTGGCCACCATCCCTGTTATCTCTTGCCTGGAAGGTGGCAGCTGCCTTCTCATATCTTACTGGCTCCCTGCCCCATCCTTGACCCCACAGCCCAGAAACCACATGGTAGCCACAGAGGCCATAACACTGAATCTGACCATCCTCCTTCCCCACCCCGGGCTCACAGCCTTTCTGATCCTCCAGCAGCGAGTTCTGCCATTTACAAATCTTCATGTGTGCTGTGACCTCCACCCAGAATGCTCTTCCCAGCTCCCTACCTAGCATCCTTGCCCACCTTGGACTCTGGCCCTTCCAGACCACATCACTTGCCACCACACCCCACTGTGCCCAATGATGGTTTCCCTACTGACCATCCTGTGTTGCAGTGGTCATTCTACAAGGGCTGGCATGCAGGAGGCATTTAATAAATGCACATGGGTAGCTATGTTGACAATTAGGGTTAAGGATAGAAGGGTGAGGACAGATACTGTAAAAATGACAGGGTGGCCTCCCCGAGAGACTGAGGCTGAAGATGGGGTGTTCCTAGGCCAGGGGTAGGAGGGATGTAACCCCCATAGGCTGTGGGAGACCTGCACGGCTGAAGCTCACTGTGACCAGGCCAAGAGGTGATGGTGGGTGATGAGGGGCCTGAACACTGAGGATCGAGGACATTCTCCTCTCACATTCTCACATGGCCAGGGGCCATCATTTATCCATTCAGTCACTCATTAATTCATCTAAAAAATATGCCCAACCCAGAGCTAGATCACAGGGAAGACAGGAAGCTCTACCCGCCATAGAGCTTCCCTGTTACCAGAGGACACAAACACACATTGGCATGTTGATCTGTTAAGAGCTAGGGAGGTGAGTCAGGCAAAGAGAGAGGTGGAAGATGCCTGTCAGGTTGCCAGCCTCCAAGGTGGCCCCAGCAATCCTCACATCCCAGATCATGCCCTTGTGTAGTCTCCTCCCACGGTCAATCAGGCTGGTCTGTGTGGCCAGTGAAGTGTGGCAAGAGTGGCTGGGTCACAGAGGGCATCATGGTTTCAGCCTTGCATCTTCAGATAGCTTGTTCTGGGGCAAATCAGCCACCATGTTGTAAGGATGCTCAGCCTGACCTGCAGAGAGCCCTGTGTGGGGAGGAACTAGGCCTCCAGCCAACAACCAGTACTGACTCACTGTGTGAGAGTGAATCATCTGGGAAGTGGAGCCCAAGCCCCAAAAGAGCCTTCAGATGAGACTGCAACCCTGGTTGACATCTGACTGCAGTGGCATAAGAAACCCTGAGGCAAAACCACCCTGAAAAACCCCAATTTTTGACACGCCAAGTGAAAGAGAATAAATGATGATTGTTGTGTTTGAGCTCCATGTTTTGAGGTAATCAGTTCCACGTCAATAACTAACGTACTAGACATCTGAGCAGAGGCCTAGCTGCACGAAGGAAGCTAGATGATAGCTGGAGAAGTGCTCAGATGAAACAGGGCATGCAGGAGTCCTGAGGCAGAAATGAACTTGCTGTGCCTGAGGGACAGCCAATGTGATATTGTGGCTGGAGTGGAGTCAGGGAACCAATAACAGGGAGTGACTGGGCATATTAGGCAGAATCACACAGGACAGGCAGCTGGGAACTCATGGTTTGGGGGCTGTAAGCTGGGGGAAGGCCTTGCATGGTGATTTGCTCTGATTTATATATTTTAACAACCCTCTGTATACACAAAGGAACTGAAAGCAAGGTCTCAAAAGAGCTATCTGTACACTGATTCACAGTAGCCAAAAGGTGGATACAACCCAAGTGTCTATCAGGAGATATATGGATAGACTAGGCATGGTGGCTCACCTCTGTACTTTGGGAGGCAGAGATGAGAGTGGAGGTCAGGAGTTCGAGACCAGCCTGGCCAACATGGCGAAACCTCATCTCTACTAAAAATACAAAAAGTAGCCTGGTGTGGTGGTGGTCACCTGTAGTCCCAGCTACTCAGGAAGCTGAGGCAGGAGAATCACTTGAACCCAGGAGGCAGAGGTTGTAGTGAGCTGAGATTGTGCCACAGCACTCAAGCCTGGGTGATGGAGTGAGACTCCGTCCCACACACCCGCCCCCCAAAAAAACCAAAAAACAAAACAAAACAGGTGAATAGATAAACAAAATGTGGCCTTATTCAGCCT